GATGCATTGATTACGTTTGTTAAAATCTATGACATCACTACACACACGGGCATAACGAACGACTTGGGATATATAAACACCGTATGATGGAGCCAAAGGAACATCGCCGTCTAAAAAAGGAAAACTAACAATAGGGAATGAAAAGTCGTCTCTTTTGTCGAAAATTTTAGTATGGAGTTTTCCTTTAGAGATTGAAATGTCCAAATCTAGAAAAGGACAACTACTGCTGTTATGTTAGATTTAGTTAAAGTAAGTTCTTTTGAGTAAATTTCGGTAGTATATTTAGAGAACTCTGGATTATTTAACGAAAAAATATCATCTAGATAACGGAAGGTATTGTTGAATGTATCAACCAAATGTAACAATGACGTGTCTTTACTGAGTTTGGTCATAAACTGAGATTTATAGTAATACAGGAATAAATCTGCTATTAAAGTGGCGCAGTTAGTACCCATAGGAATACCTCATACTTGTCGATACACTTTATCGCCGAAACGTACATATATGTTATCCAGGAGAAAATTTAAGGCTTCATTCATATCTTCACATTTCCAGTAAGTGTATCTAGCATACTTTCCTTTTTCGTTACAGAAAAAAGGTTTAAACGAGTTACAGCAAATAAATTTGAAATGAGATTTTTCAAAAAACCATTTAATTAAATATGAAAACTTTTTCTTGATAAGATTGTGTGGAAGTGTAGTATAGAGAGTAGAAAAATCATAACTGTCAACAGAATTAAAAGGACCATCAAAAGCATGTATTTTATCTAAAACCTCTAAAGAATTTTTAACACTCCAAAAATAATTAATACCATTGTTTTATAAGCTTTATTACAAAAGTTAATAACAAGTTCTTTGATAGTAGTAAGGAAGGCAGTTAGAAGCACTGATAGATTGGTAGTAGAACACTTACTAGATGCGGAGATGAAACGGAATTTAAATTTTTTTTGTGCAATTTAGGTAACCAGTACATAGTAGGGACTTTCAAATGTTCGGAAGAGGCTTTAAGCTGGGTAGTGGCAGTGATATGCTTGTTTACAATTTGACTCTCTGTGGAGCGTACGGACCTGAATGTAGATGAATTTGTAATTTCGTTTTGGAGAACTTCCGTGTAGTATATGCGTCACACCACCACTACATTGTCTGCCGGTACGAACACAAACCGCTTTGCGAGTACTAGGAGTTTAATTTTTATTCTAGAAATGGGAATATCATGGACCCTATTACTAATTTCAGAATTGTTTTCAAAATGAGATATACGAATATTAACAGTATTCATAATTTTATTCAAATAACTGTCAAGAGATTTTTTATCTGATTTTTCACGTTTACACCAATTTTTACAGTAGACAGATAGCGTCTTTAATGACCTGACGACACTGTTTCCAATCTATTTTAGATGGCGGACGATATTTCGGTCCTTTCTTAAGAAAAATTATGACCTCACGGTCTTCGACGATGTTTGAGGTCTCTTGTAAGGACATGACCATAGGGAACATATCTAAAACTAGATGTTTCACAGTCTCAAGTGGAAGGAACATTATTTTCTATATTGACGTCTGATGTAACTGACGTATAATTAAAAATCAAACTTCTGCTGGTTTTTTTTGTAAGAATACGAAATAATAGGTGGTTCTATATTATCAAAATATGGAGGTATTTGGCTTTGGATGGTAGAGTCATTGAATCAAGGTTGGCAAAAAAGTGGTCAATACTAGTATTGACCATGCCGGCGGTAAAAACCGGTAAATACCGGGAAATACTGGCAAATACTGGTTGATTGAAATTTTGAGTGGACATTACTATAAAAACCACTCTCTACCTGGTCAATTATCTTTAGTAATGAAATAATGAAAGTGTTAAAGCCATTTTAAGTGGTCTTATTTCTATTTTTATTGTAAATTCTTAATAAACAATTTTGATTTACAATGATTTATTTGTACAAAATATTGGAATCATTTCATTTTGCACTGGTTTTGTTGTTGTCTTATAGTGTATAGAAGTTCCAAATGGGCTCTTTTAGGTTTCAGTTAGGTGCTTTAGGTCAAGGTGGTTGTACTATGTGTAAGTAAAAATTGATTAGGTAAAGGTAAAAATTGATAGGTAAAGGTAAAATCTATTTTACATTATATATTTTTTGGTTTAAACCATAAATTACAGAAGCCTTAAGACATGTAAAAGTAAGGTCCATCATACTTTCCATTTCCTGCATGAAGATGATTTTTGTTTCACAGTTAATAGACAGGAAATATTTTATCGTTTAGGTGAGTCTTCAAATATCCAATTTATTACTTTCAACCCATATTTTGTCATCATTTATTGGGGGCTGTTGTTTTAGTAATTAATTTTTCACACCTAGCAATGCCAGGTGATAGGTAATAAGACACCTGTAACTTCATTTACCTGTAAAAATTATGCATTTAAAAAAAAAATATCTTGAAAAATGTTGTAATAACTAATATGTCAATTTTTATTAATCTAAAATATGGACTTGTAAGGACTAAATTAGTAGGTATAAGTGTTGAAAATGAATAAAACATATCAAATTCATTCATTTTTTCAGCTGAAACATGCCAAAAGATAAATGTTTAAATATATCTTACTTTGTATATCAAGTTTTTACTACAATAAATAGTAAAAACCACCAAGAAAATTTCAATCGACCAGTATTTGCCAGTATTGACCACTTGAGGAGTATTGTCCGGGGCGGTAAATACCGGTTAATACCGCCGGTAACTACCAGGGGCGGTTTTTACCGCCCAACCTTGCATTGAATATACTAGATGAGTTAATAAAATCAATACCTCTATTTATATATTTTAATTTAAGAAAATGCCGTTTATGATTTTCAGGTTTATCGATACTAGGAAATAGCCTATGATGACAAAAGGCTGTAATAATACGGGTGTATTCATACATTGGGCTAAAAAAAGAAATTTTATCACACTTCAGAAAAATAGCATATAATTTACTTATTGGCATTTGACCCAGTTTGCATAATACTTGATGTCTGCCATTATTTGTTATTATAGATAACAGATCAGCAAGTGTATAATTTATACGATGTTTAATACGTTGATTACGGTTTTTGCGTTTGCCATGAGACCTTTTATTTCTAAGTCGTTTATCGACAATATCAATGACATCGATTGAAGTTTTAGTTATGTTCCCCTGTCCTAATATTTTGTCATTAAGACCGAGAGGATAAGCTGTTTGAAGTCTTTTTATCCAAAATAATTCGCGAACTTCACGAGATTTTTTAAATTGCTTGTGTGATTCTCCTGGTTGTTTCTGAACGGTTTCAAGTGGTTGGAATTTTATAAATTTTAGATTGTGATTATGCTTATGTAAATGTTGATATATCAAACTTTTGAATTTTTTTAGGTCCACGAAAGCGGTAAAGGTGTTCTTGATTTTTTTTGTAATACTCTCGTCCCGTCTGTCCCACATATTCAATCCCACACTTAGGTTGGGTTCAAGTTACCACATATATAAGGTTTTGAGTTTTTCAGGTATTGTCACAGGAAAAGGAGAGCGAAAAAGCTTTCCCGTTCACTGTTGACCTTACAGTATTTTGTGAAGTTAATCTTAAACAGGTAAGTCACTTTTTGGCATTGCACGGGAAAATTTGTGGATATTCACGTGCATTTTTGTTAAACAATCTGGCTGTAGAGGCATTACAAATACGTTTATTTAAGCACGTGGATATCCTAGAAGTTGTGTTGTTAATAATTTCCTTTCCAAACCTGGAAATGGAAGGATATCATGTTTACTGGAAGTGGTGCGGCCTAGTAAAAACAGCAGGCAGAAAGTAGATAAAAATCCGCTTTGACTTCAGGGATTCAAAACTTTTTATTCTCTGTGGCACGAGGCCCCCCCCACCCCCCTCCCCGTAAAATCAAAATTTAACATAACTACATACATGATATGTACATAAAAAATTACGATGTAGCATTTTATTTTAGAAAAATTTCTATGACTATGATCAGTTGTTTTACATGTAAGCCTATGGGGCAGTCAATTAATTACAAGACTGCAACCTGTACTTTTTGTCTTTTTGTTGTTATGGATTAGGGATGGTTAAATACCCTGCCACGTCCGGTCTGTGGATTTTTTGGAAGTTCATCTGCTTTGTATTGATGTGATGAGTTAAAATTTGTTAACTGTTTTTTTTTTCATATTTTTGTGCTGTTACACCACTGTCCCAGGTTAGGGGGGAGATTTGAGCGATCACAAACATGTTTAACCCGCCACATTCTGTCCCAAGTCATGAGCCTGTAGTCCAGTAGTTGTTGTTGGTTGATGGCTGTCATGTTTTTTTTCTTATATTGTTTTATTATAAACCAGGCTGTTCGTTTTCTCATTTGAATTGTTTCATATTTTTCATGTCGGGGCCTTTTATAGCCGACTATACGGTATGGGATTTTCTCATTGTTGAAAGCCGTACTGTTGCCTATAATTAATTACATCAACTTAATTTGAATTCTTGGATAGTTGTCTCATCGTCAATTATACCACACCTCCTTATTTTTATATTGAAGTTTATTAAAAACTTAAATGGTATTCAAAACAACTTTGATTGAAAATCAGAAAATTGATTAGGTATACATTAATAAAAAGACGTTTCAAGGAACTAAGTCGCTCATTTGTCTTTTAGCATAAAAACTGAAGAAAAATTATCACGATTTTTATGAACTTTGAAACAGAAAAAACATATTTCCTACTGTGTATGCCTTATTGTCTTCTGAAAGTTGCACACAGACATAATTATCATTGATATCATGCATTACACAAAAATATTGAGAACAATTCGTCATAGTAGCATGTGAATGAATGACTTACGTTTAAGTCATAGCTTCTGTTGAACTGTATATGATTTCAGCAAATTTTGTATCAAGATATAGCTGCAGGGTTTTTCTTACAGGTCTAAATTCATTTTAAATTACAGGTTGTCTAAGCGTACGATTTGACGAACATTGGAAAAGTGATTTAGATTTTGATATGTACGTAGAGGAAATAAACAACGAAAGCATAATTGAGAGATCCTGGATTCTCCATAAGATACATGCACACAACAATCATGAAAGGAAAGGCATACTATTGTCAGCAGACATGGGGTTTGGAAAGTCAACCATTGTGTCAAATATCGTTTGTGCAGCTCCAAGGTCTATCTGGTATTCATTAAGACAGCAAGTACTTGTTTATCACATGTGTCGGTATGACCTTTTTTTAACTACACAACCTGAAGTTTTTTTCCGTAATTTAGCAGGTGCAATCGTAAGAGAGATGCCAGAGATTGGTAATACAATTCTATCTGATGATATGGCATTAGATTTTCTGTATGGCAAATGTACAATAGATCCAGTAGCTTGTTTAGAATATTCTGTTCTGAATAAGTTGAAACATGTGAATGACGATCGGAAGCATCTAATCATTATAGACGCAATTGATGAATGCGAAACTTCAGGAGGAACTGATTTAGTTTATTTATTGTCTAAGAAAATTTCTATCTTTCCAAAAAATTTTAAGTTCCTTATTACTATTCGAAATATAGAAAGATTGGTTGTTAAATTCAAAGACCTTGAGCATATTGATCTACAGGCACATGCACAAAACAATCTGCAAGACATACGTTTATATCTTGAAAAAGAGAAACAGTTGACAAATGAAGAAACAAATAAACTTACCGACATTTCAGGCAAAAATTTTCTCCACGTTAAACTTTATCTCCAGCATTGTAAAGATTTGAATACGGATGACTGTAACTATATTCCAGAAAGTCTTGAAAAAATATACATGCTAAATTTTGAGCGAGTGTTTGGTGAAAAAGGAGATCTGTTCGAAGAATTTATCAGTGTATTTGAAGTTTTATGTACCTTGCAAAACCCAATTGAAGAAAACAAACTTTTAGAGGTTGCTGGTCTCAAATCGCAAGATATTAAAAGAAAGACTTCTCGCAGTTTACGTAACGAGCTTCGTCACTTCATCAAAATATCAAATGGTTATATGTCATTTCAGCACAAGTCAATAAGTGATTTCCTAACGGATTCTTCAAGAAAATATTCAAATTTCTATGTAGATTTACAAAATGGTCATAAACGTTTTGCAGAATATTTACTGAATTCATTGAATGTGTCAATGACGGATAATTTGATGGATGTTGTACATCATGTAGCTATGTCCCGAGTCTCAGAGTATGAGAATATATTGTTTCAATATGTAAGAGAACTGAAAAGACAGAACCGTATATCAAATTTCACCACACATTTGAATCTAGGAGCAGAGCAAATGAATTGTTACGAAACACTTACACTGTTTATTAAATTGACAATTTCAAATGAACCTCAGCAAACTGATAAAAATATCGCTGCCCAAAATATCTGGATTAAGAATATATTGTCTGTAGCTGCATTTACTGCTTCTCAATACGGAAACGAAAAGTCTTTGTTGGCTCTACTCGACCATGGATCAGATATAACGTTTCAATATCTGAGTTCTGACCAACCATCTATCATATTTGAAGACGATAGAACTATGTGTAAGTATAAATTATTTTGTGGTTATAATATGTTGCACATCGCAGCACAGCGCGGGTATATCAAAATAGTGAACGAACTATCTCACAGAAATAGGACATTAATCTATGAGCTTAATTCTATGAAAATGAATGCATTTCACCTGGCTGCTGAATTTGGACATGTTCATGTGTTACAGGTTTTTCTCAACATCAACAGTTCTCTTGCAGATTCACATTCGCTATACTTAGCATCTAAAAACGGACACACGAAAGTTGTAATTCTATTGCTTGATTATGTTGATGAAAATTGTCTTCCGTGTAATATGGACATTTCCTGGAGACCAACATTACTATCAAGTGAGGAATTAGAAGATGGGAATAATTTGGTTCAGATAGCTTACAATCTAACATTTAGTAAAGGAGAAAAATTGCCAGTTGTAGAAGATTTTGAGAACTTGAGATTGATAACTTGTGATACACCATTAAATGCTGCTGTCAAAAATGGCCATATCGAAATAGTTAAAATTTTGGGAACATATAGTGCAAGAACAGTCAATTGTAGTACTTACGATGGGTCTATTCCTCTGTTCACGGCAGTCAAATATAATCGAAACGAAATATTCAAATTTTTATATGAAATATCAGATTTATCTCATAAATGTAAAGGCATTTTTTATAATCAATCAAAACTCACAGCTTTCGAAAAAGTTCATTTAAAATCAATGAAATGTCCAGATAATGCAGGTGTGGAACATTTACTAGCTATATATGATAATATACAGCTAATTGACTACGTTTTTCAGAAAGGCCACAAAAATTGGGAATCACGTGATAAAGAAGGTTGTACTCCTCTTCATTACGCCTTTTGTCATGGAAGTTACAAATTTGTAAATTTCTTCATATTTGAAAACAGACTTCGACTTAATTTATCTTCCAGATCAATAAATGGATCTACTCCGTTTCATTCGGCTGCAAATTGTCACTCATTTATACTTCATCAATATTTTGAGAAAATGAAAACGATTAATTTGCCACCTATACCTGATGTAGTAGATAATGAGGGACATTCTATTCTACAGTACGGTTTCAATAAATCAATCAGCTCTAATGATTCGATTAAAATTGATAGAATTGGTAAAGATTATTTCGTCATTTCTTTGTTTCGGTTAGCTGTAAAGTTTGATCACAATTTTCTGCATAATGATAAACGAAAAAATAATTTTCTTCATTACGCCGCGAAAGCAGGAAATTACTGGGTTTTTTTCCTTACTAAGGATTTGAAAACCTTCGACAGAAAACTATATCTGTTATTAAATCAACGCAATCAAAATAATCGAACCGCTTTGGAAGTAGCATTTGATGCTTTACCAAGGCAAAAGTCTTTTGAAGCGGTCAGAATTCCTAACAACTGCAGCTGGACTGATGTTTTCTATGTTGACTGTAAAGCAAACTACTCCGTTCTTCTTTCCCCGCAAGAATATTTTATATTCACCGTGTTTCAGTATTTTGATGCAAAAGAAAACTTTTCTGAGATTAATATAGATGAACTACTTAAGATAGCAATAAATAAGTCAAGAATCTATCCAATTCTTATTATGATAGTATACGCTGAGCAGGAAGTTAGAGATATTCTAGAGAGGTCTTTTGAAATACCGTTTTTATTATCAAAATGTAATTCGCCATATATCATCGAATTACTATTGAACTCAAAGAACGCACTGCGTTGTGACGGAAATAAAAGTGCTCTTCATGAAATAGTTCATAACGACAGGAACATTCAATGGACATTTCATTCTCTCTCTTTTTTGGATCCTATTTTTGAAAAATACTCTGTCAAATTTTTGGATGAATGCTTCGATGACCGAGGCTACAACTTACTTCACAGATCTATCATGGGTGCACATTTGCCGACGATACACTATCTCATTAATCAAGGAATGAACCGTTGGCAACCATCTAAAGACAACAAAACAGCTCTGGAAATATTCTTTTTAAATTCACCATACACTGACAACGGTATTATACCGACTTACTATACATTTGGTTCACGCTTTCATAACATTCAGTATGTATCATCAATAGGAAGTGAAGATGTTGTTTACGATAGCAGTCGTCTTATAAATTTTGATGAGACGGCAACAAATCTCTTGCACACAAATGATATTAAAATACAACTCATTAGAAGTCAATTGTGTGACTCAAAGAACAAGGATCTTGGATTAATACATATTGCTGCGGCTAAAGGGTATTTGACGTTTTTGAAAACAGCAAGAGAAATGTTTGGGTTGGATTATTTGCGCTGTGAGGATCAATTTGGTGTAACACCTATGTATATTGCACATATCTATAATCAAACAAAAATTGTCAATTGGATGAGAAAATTGAAACTTCATATCAAAAGACCCACGGAAAGCTCAGAAAATATTTTACTTTTTAATATGATAGATAATTACATGTCTCCGGACAAGTATGATTGGACTTGTCTCCTGAGATATAGATACAGATATACTGGAATAATACGAAACCAAGTTTTAAAATGTAGTGTTAAAAATTCTCATGTACATATTCATCATTCGAATATGTACAAAAATTACACACATTCTTTTTTACGTCACTTTACCTCTCTAAGGAATGATGAGACAAAACTACCTGCGATGGACCATCTTACTTCTGTACATAAAACTAAATTGCAGAATGTACTTTTATCATACAGAGTGAATCATTGTCGTCTTAAATTTTTCCACGATAAAGGATACTATATGATGAAAAAAATTATGTTGTTTGGAGATGATGATAAAGACTTTTATTATTTCCAAATACTTTCATCGGTGAAGAAGAAACCGAATACAGATGGCGAAGATACATTCTCCAATGTTTCCAATTTATTATTTAATGTTTTTGGAAAATATAACCAACATTTTAGAAAATTAAAGATGCGATCTGAAATTCATCGACTGTGGTTGGAACAAACCAAATTTCAATTTACAAACGATTCACAGACATTCTCTAAATACAAATTTGAATATTTCCGAAAATTGAATAACCTTCAATCGATTAACAGAACGTGTATGAACATTGAAATCAAAACAGGAAAGAGAATAAAAACATAAGATTATTTACAGGGTGGATCAATTCAAATTTGATGTAATATAATATAATTAGGGGCAAAGGACAATTTCTGCGGAATTTATTTCACTCCAGAGCCATTTTGAAAAAAAATCCTTCATTCTTTTAAAAAATCACAGCATTAACGATTCAATAGTGTGCTTCAAACTTTTAACAACATTTGGGCATACTTTCAGCCAACTTTTAAATGCATAAGGATGGCATAAAGTGCAATTTTAAAATATTTTGAGTAATCATAAAAAAAGGAAAACGAAGGACACCCTTAAAGTCATATGAAATTTCAAATTTAAAAAAAAGTCGATTATGTTTAAAATACTGGAATGGCTAATTTTTACTGTAAAACAAGTGAAAGTGAACCTTTTTTAAAAAAGAAAATCCTTTATATTACTAAAATCTCCATAAATGTACCGATATTGAATTATTGACCTCCCAGATTCGCTGATATTATCCCGTATGCAGTGACCTTATTTACGAGACATATTGTTATAACTTCGCCAACCAGCGTTAGTGCGATGGGAAAACCGTACTGAAAGAATGTAAACAAACGTGCTCTTGTAGGTAAATGGTAATAACAGATTCTGAAAGAACAAATCTTATACAACAAATTCTTTAACAAGGAAAATTTTAATTAAGAAATGGGAACGCATGGAAAATATAAAATAAAATGTCATGGCTCTTTCAATTCACGTATTTGTCACGTTTTCCACATGCTCTGTGTTTATTGTTTATCAAGTCAAGATCCGGTAAACTTCGGCAACAAACTCGAAAGTTAATTAGCTTGCGATCAACAATCACTAAATGAAATATTATTTGTCGATAATACTTTATAGATTCGTAATAAATATAAAAAACGTGCATACAAGACTTAGTTAAGTATATATGCATGCATTGGTTCAATGATTTCGATAACATTAAAATTTCAAGAATCTCGTTTCATATGGCTTTTAACTAACTTCAATCGATTTATGACTTTCGAACACCGGTATACTTCTGTTGCCTTTATTTAACTAAAACTGAAATTTTTACTATTTGTGAAATAATATTGATTACACTCTTAAATATTCGAATACCAGTAAGTATTATAAATTTTGATATTTGAACCATGTGAGTTTAAACACATATAAGTGAAAACGCTTTGCCACCCGTTGTTAATAGACGAAACTGTCTAAGTTAACCTGATCTTGAGTACTTTCTTTGTTCATTGATCAACGTTATCTATTTATTAGTTTCTCAAATACAACGCGAAATATATCAACTTTATTTGCATATAGGTACGATAAAGAGTTCATGTCCGTAGGAACTTGACCTCATTTTCAGGGTTCATCGATTTACAATAAGCCTAGGTAAGTCAGCATACTTTGAATAGAGTATATTATTAGTTATTTTCGTTTCGTTTTGATTATGTTTATGTTATCTATTATATCGTCATTACAGAATTAATTTATTTCCTTCTGTGATTGCTTATATATAATGTATGTTCTTTAATGTTACTTTCGTTCATCCACAGATTGTTATTGACAGGGGTGGTTGAGATCCAAATAAAGTAGTCTAAGTGTTTGTCTTCGATATATCTTTTATGTCTTTTTTTTTTACATTTTCAAGAATGAATTGTAAATAGAAACTCTGTGTATATTTTCTGTAAGTTAATTTACCAATTGTATGTACTCGAACCAATTAAACCTCAAATTGCTCTTACGTCGGATTACTATTATTAGGACAACGGATGTGAAAGCGCATCCCAAATATAAAACATTGTAATGGACGATAAATCATACTTCATTAGATTCCTTATTATATTCTCTGCGCGTTCATGTGCGTTGTATTCACATACTTCCCTTTCTCTCACATATGAAAACATTTTTAAATTACCCTTCAATTTTCAGCGACGAACTGGCGCTTTCTCAAATAAGTTGTGCTAGCGGGCTCGCTTGATGTTCTTGCTGATAAAGTCAGTTCCAAAAACAAAAAAGCCATTATTCTATATGTATCGCGGTTTCCATATGATAGATTGGATGAATCGGGTACTATTGAAAATAAAATTGGGGTCCCGATAGTCTTTTTCATAAATAAAGGCAACAGTAGTATACCGCTGTGCAAAAGTCACAAATCGATTGAAAGAAAAAAAATGCGGGCTACAAACTAAAACCGAGGGAAACACATCAACTATAAGAGGAAAACAATGAAACAACAGAAACACTGAAGTGCAACAAAACCAAACGACAATGCAACATACATAGAAATGTATATCATCTCTTCATGATAAATATTATTGTTCCTGCGGACAAAGCTTCAAATAACATTGTTTGTGTATGTAAATCGTACTACTTCGAGTGTCTTTTAAAAGAATAAGAAATAAATGAGCACTCTGATAATTCCACATACAAAAACATATCATTTGACAAGGATAAGATATTTGCGAATCGTAAGTCCTTCGCGACTTCAATAAACATTACAGTGAACGTCAAATATGAGGAACTACCTTGTTTGTATTGGATACCTAAGCTTCACAAGATTCCGTACAAACAACAGTACATTGCCGGCTCATCTGCATGTTCGACAAAGGAATTGACCATTAAATGGACAAACATTCTGTCCATAGTGAAACAAGGACTTCAGAAATACCGTGAAACTGTAGTGTTATTAACCATATGTGGATTCTAAAGAATTTCTGGATAATTTTAAATCTCGATCTTTCTCTAAAATTATTCATATCAAAACCTTACATTTTTCAATCCTCTACAGCACCCTTGCCTATGCTAAATTGAAAAATTGTCTAAAAGAAAAAAATCCACAATGCTTTTAAATATATAGTAGCATATACGATGAATTTACTACTTTGGGATACGACATACTTTGTTAATAGCGAACCAATAGGTAAAACAGGCTATACCGAGGAACAAGTGATCAGTATGGTGGGGTTTTTATTGACAAATTATTTGTTGAATTTTGAGGTCGACTTTTTAAACAAATTGTCGGCAGTCCTATGGGAACGAACTGTGCGCCTCTCCTTGACGACCTCTTCTTATTTTCAAATGAGTCGGAGTTCTATCAGACGCTTGTCAAATATAAGAAGATCAAAGAAGCTAGATCATTTAATTTCACATTCAGATATATTGCTAATAATCTTTCCATTAACAATCCAAACTTTTCTTATTGAATTCCTGTAATATATATATCCTGCAGAACGAACTAGAAATTAAAGAAAACAACAAACACGACTTCCTCCGCCTTATTTTTAGACTTCTACTTCGAATTTGACATTAGCGATCATCTCAGTAATAGAATCTATGATAAAAGAGACGAGTTTAATTTTGAAATTATAAATTTCCCCACCTTAGCAGCAACATACCAACTTCACCTGCATATGGGATGTACGTTTCCTAATTAATTCGGTATTCACGAGCTTGCAACTGCTACTCAGACTTTATAAATCGGCAATTTGTACATTTTGCCTTTGATCTTACTGGTTTATATTTTTAAGACTATGGACAGGACTTGATACTCGAAAGTATTAGGCAATGACGTCATGTGTTAGTGCAGGAACGTCACGTGCTCCATCTGGGTTAATTTATCAATGAAATGCACGCGACTTCATTTATACAACCGAACAACTATCCCAACTTTGTGTACGCATAAAAGTAGTTTTACTAACTATTCCATTTTATTCATATTCTCATCCAAAAAGTAAACAGTTAAGAGAAATTGCCGACAAAAAGAATCATTTTTTGAAACTGACTTCATCATCTCGAAAATCAGCTCACCCTAATAGGCTCGCTTGGTATTCTTGCTGATAAAGTCAGTATCATTAACAAAAATGCCATTGTTCTATATATATTTTGTATTTATGTTAAAGTTATGAGAAATATCTGATACTCAAAATAATTCTCACAGGAAAGTGATACCAATGATAGGGATGCAAATAAAGAACTTAACTTGTCTTTAAGAATGTCAGCAATTTTGAAAAGTTACTCATGCCATACGTTAATTATGAAATTTATTTTGGATCTCTAATCAATAGCTACTCCCATTGCTAACAACTACTACGTCATCCAATAATAATACATCAATAGTTACTGAAATTCAGAAATTATTACGTACATTTATTATTGAGATTTTTGGAAAATGGACAAAATGCGAGATTAATCATTTCGATTTCAGGAAAGTCTGCATACAGATGAATGTATGGGATATCAAAATGCTGGTTCTGATTATTGTGGTACAGACAACAATTTGATATGTTATGAATATAAAAATCTGTCAATAGTAAATGCATATTCAACTGGTCCAGTTATTTGTAGTATTTCAAACAGTTGTATAACAGAGGGATTAATTTGAATAAATATGGTGGCCTGATGCAAATAGTACACGAACGGCGAAGAAGTGAAGACTGGAGAGTAAAGGAAAAGGCCCGAAATTGTTTTGTTTAGCGTTTTATCTTTTTCAAAAAGTTAAATAACAAAAATACCGAACTCCGAGGAAAATTCAAAACGGAAACTCCGTAATCAGCTGGCAAAATCAAAAACACAAACACATCAAACGAATGGATTACAAATGTCATATTCATGACTTGGTACAGGCATTTTCTTATGTAGAAGATGGTAGATTAAACCTGGTTTTGTAAGCTAAACCTATCACTTGTATGACAGTTGCATGAAATTCCATTATATTGACAACGATGTCTGAACAAAACAAACAGACATAATAAGTAAAAATGTCAAAACCTCGCCTTTTGCCTTTTTGCTATTTGAGTTTTCACATTTTCGTGTTTTCTCTTTTTGGCTATTTCAAATGTTTGCCTTTTTGCGTTTTTTATCTTCAGATAATGATATTTTCTTTGTCAAAAGTTAAAATTTTCATCCCTTTCATACTTAGAACAACTTTTTTTATCAATAAAGTACTAGTACTAGTTAAATGCGATAATTAATGAAAGGGTATTATGAAAGGTTTGTGTATGTTTGCATCATTTCGTTTTTCGTCTTAAAAAAAAACAATAAAAAAAGTGTTTTCGTTTTTCATTCTTGATGGTACCAATCTAAAAACCAAAACTGCAAGTTTTTGAAATCTTAGAACGAAGAACGACACCTTTATTTATCTTCCTGATTTTCAGTTATTTAAGACAAACAATGCATGACAATGCTGACGTTTCTTTCCATAGTTATTGAAAATTAGAAGTGTCAACGTGATTCATTTTTCACCGCTAAAATGAAGAAACGACAAACTGAAGTTTCTCCGGGAGGTACACATTCAGTAACAACTATTTATGATGAAAAGAAAATAATAGTATGTATCAATTCGTGATATAAATTAATTACATGCAAATAAAAACACAAAAAAGCAAAGGAGACACAACTGTTATCACTGTTCTCGTGTCCCCTTCACGGGTATGCTCGTGTACTTCTGAACCCCTTTACTATCAATGATTGAATAATGTTTATAAAAATGATAAAGATTTAATTGTAGGTCATTTCATACTGATATCAACACGTTTATATATACATTTAACTTTGTTGGCTGTTGTAACTTGGGTATTTTTTTTCACATTCTAGAAAATCATAGGCCACATAATGAATCAAATTAATAGTGAACATTTTGACAATTTTAAGTCAGTTGCTGTTGCTTTGAAATTAACAGTTGACGGATTACAAGACTTCGTTCAGGAAAACCTTCAAAGTTTACATCAAAACATATATAAAAAGTGTTCAGTGGGTCGATGTCATGACAACTGTAGTAGGAAGTATGGAGATAGATTTTCACAGTGGTGCAGTACTTGTCAAGCTTGGAAGAAAGAACTCCACCAGCTGAATCGATACAGAAAACATTGGGATAACATAAAATGGGAAAAAGATAGACACAATGGATTTTCCCTATTCTTATGAAGAAGCTTCCAAAGTCTTCGTTCAAAACTTATCTTATGGTCGACAAGGGTTATTGGAAGACGTAGGAGCTTTAATGTCACTTTTTAGAAATTTAAGACTATTATATAGCATTATCAACGACAATATAATAGGCGATATTCTGCGAACATGGAATACATATTTTGCCCATAACTATGCTCTTAATTTACACGGCGTTGAAAAAGCTCAAAGTCTCAGTTGTTTGATTGTATTATTAAAAATACCCGAGATAGCGTGCACTCAGAGCTCCAAAACTGCTCTCAACATATTGGAAGAATTAAAGATGTCACAAAACATACCAGAGAGAATTTTGAAGAAACCGAACGTGCAGAACACAATAGCAGTTATCCAGAATGTTTTACACAGAAAAGCGTATGAAACATTGGAGGAAAATACAATGGCAAATTTATTTTATAATGACAACGAACATTTTCATATCAAACGATTTACAGATGTGGAACCGACTCAGAAGCGAAATCGCATGGCAAAGTTTCTACGTTTTGCAATCTTTCTCACTACACTAGGCGTTGGAACATTTATAATACTGTATGGATTGTTGTCTATAAAGATACAATACCGGTGAAAGGTAAATCAGCATTTTTTTTTCATTTCTCTTTGAACTACACTTATTTTGTTTTATTTGTTAAGTTATTTTACTAAGAAAGTATAATTATCTGAGATCCTACAAAAAACACCAAAATTGTTCAAATTGAATTGTAAAGTTAATCCTTTCTGGGAATTGAATGACACAAACTCTAAACTTGAAAACTAAGCGGGTTAGTAAAAATGAACTATAAAAATTAAGTTTTGTGAATCCACTGGATGATTAGTACTAATAATAAACAAGACTTGACATAATTGATAATAAGTGTACAGATTTATAATGAGACTGAAAAAGTTTTTTTTTATAAGGTAAACAATAATTTTACCTTTAGTAGCCGTGCATAAAACTTATGTCGGCATTTCTCTTCAAAAAATGACTTGTTTAATGGAATAAATCGTATGATTTCATTCATTCATTCATTCACATCTTTATTTCCTCTTCATAGAGATTACATGCATTATATCATCATGAACAATAAATTAATACATTAATAACAGAAGATAAAAATGATAAAGTAATGAAAAATACGTAATATTTACATATAAATGAAAATGTTTATATACAGTACAACAGTAAAAACGTTTATATCGCGAGCTGTCGATATTACATGTGCTAACATTATACTATATTGTGCAATTGACGGTTGCATTCGGATGCAGATTTTTTTACATGGATGTAGCAAAGTCGCTTGAATGAATCTAAGTCGGAGTCACTGAGCACAGTTGAAGGGATTTTCCTAGACAAATTGTAAATAATGATCCATCATTACACTCACTTAGTTCACATGTTTTTGTTGCACTTCAGTGTTCCTGTTGTTCCTTTGTTTTCCTCTTAAAGTTGATCTGTTTCCCTCGGTTTTAGTTTGTAACCCGGATTTGTTTTCTCTCAATCGACTTTTGACTTTTTAACACCGGTATACTACTGTTGCCTTTATTTAGTTCAACAAAGAGATCGAGAGAAAAGTTTTCTATTATTAAGTCCAGCCAAGTGCTGTACATATTTGATGTACACGTACAGCCAAAGCATGCATGAACGAAAACTTCAGTGAACAGACGGTCGCAAATTTCACAAGATTTGGAAACGTGGTTTGGAGCGGTAGATATACGTTTTCGATAAACAGTGTAGTGCGAATTTCGGAGCTGTCCGAATGGAATTTCCACACATGAGCCGCAGATACAGATTTATGAATATATTTGAATCTCTTGAAGTCATTGTCCGACTTAATGCAAATCAGCCAGTCTTTATCATGTTTTGATTCAACTGCATTCACAACAATACGTTTCCATTGCAGCTTATCAGGAAAGTTGCCATCACTAATATAGGTAATCAGGAATTTATACAGATTGTATTTACTTAGAATGTCTAATATAGATATAAGAAGATGTGGTATGAGTGCCAATGAGACAACTCTCCTTCCAAGTCAAAATTTATAAAAGTAAACCATTATAGGTCAAAGTACGGACTTCAACACGAAGCCTTGGCTCACACCGAACAGCAAGCTATAAAGGGCCCCAAAAATTACTAGTGTAAAACCATTAAAACGGGAATGTCCGGAATAAATCCAATATGGTTTCGTCCATTAACAGGCACGAAAAAAGTCAAAGTAGAAAGATTTGTTTTGCAAGACAAGAGTTTTTGTCGAGCCTGCGACTTTTGTCGCAGAAAGCTCGACATAGGGATAGTGATCCGGCGGCGGCGGCGGCGGCGGCGTTAGCTTACTTCTTAAAAGCTTTATATTGTAGAAGGTGGAAGACCTGGATGCTTCATACTTTGTATATAGATGCCTCATGTTACGAAGTTTCCGTCAGTCACAAGTCCAATGTCCTTGACCTCATTTTCATGGTTCAGCGACTACTTGAAAAAAAAGTTCAGATTTTTGGGAATGTTAAATTCTCTCTTATTATAAGTAATAGGATAACTATATTTGGTATGTGCGTACCTTGCAAGGTCCTCATACCCGTCAGATAGTTTTCACTTGACCTCGACCTCATTTCATGGATCAGTGAACAAGGTTAAGTTTTCGTGGTCAAGTCCATATCTGAGATACTATAAGCAATAGGTCTACTATATTTAGTGTATGTAATGATAGTAAGGGGTACATGTCCAACTGGCAGGTGTCATCTGACCTTGACCTCATTTTCATGGTTCAGTGGTCATAGTTTAGTTTTTGTGTTTTGGTCTGTTTTTCTAATACTGTATGCAATAGGTCAATCGATTTGGTGTATGGAAATATTGTACGATGTTCATGTCAGTCTGGCAAGTTTTATTTGACCTTGACCTCATTTTCACGGTTCATTGCTCAATGTTAATTTTTTGTGTTTTGGTTTGTTTTTCTAATACTGTATGCAGTAGGTCAACTATATTTGGTGTATGGAAATATTTAATGATGTACATGTCAGTCTGGCAGGTTTTATTTTATCTTGACCTCATTTTCATGGTTCATTGCTTATGTTACATTTTTGTGTTTTGGTCTGTTTTTCTTACACTTTAAGCAATAGGTCAACTATATTTGGTGTATGGAATGATTGTAGGTGTACATGTCTAACTGGTAGGTGTCATTTGACCTTGACCTCATTTTCATGGTTCAGTGGACAAAGTTAAGATTTTGAGTTTTGGTCTTTTTTTCTAATACTATATGCAAAAGGTCAACTATATTTGGTGTATGGAATTATTTTATGATCTTTATGTCAGTCGCGCACTTTTTATTTGACCTTGACCTCATTTTCACAGTTCATTGCTCAGTGTAAAGTTTTTGTGTTTTGGTCTGTTTTTCTTAAACTATAAGCAATAGGTCAACTATATTTGTTGTATGGAAGAATTGTTAGCTGTACATGCCTGCCTGGCATGGTTCATCTGACCTTGACCTCATTTCCATGGTTCATTGTTCAATGTTTAGTTTTCTTGGTTAATGTTAAGTTTATGTGACAGTTGTAAGAAAGCTTTATATTTAGGACTATCAACATAATATCAATGATTAGTAAAGAAGGCGAGACATTTCAGCGTGTGCACTCTTGTTCGTTTTACAAAGTCTTCCAAAGAAATGTAATTTTAGGTTTTTCGATATCACAGGTTATATTACGTAGCCAACCATGCTTTCACACATATCTGATCTTGTTGACGTCTTAAACTTTTGTACGTGCTTTACAGCAAAATGCTGAAATCTATTCATTAATGTGATATCTTGGTTTTTCAGATCACACCAAACTTCACAGCCATATAAAAAAGTAGGAAATACGACTGACTTTTACAGTTGCACGAGAACTAATGGATTCGTATTATCGCCTCTTAAGTTGGCACTTGCAAAATAAGTGTTTCTACCCTTCCTACAAGCTTTTGTCGTTCGTGCTAGTGTGTTTAATTTTCCGTTTAGTTCACTGCCTAGATGAATATAGCTGTCTTCAACAGGTACAGATTCTTGGTTTATTTTCCAGTCATAGTCTGTTTTTATTTAAGATGTTGAAAATTGAGTAACACACGATTTCTTTCCGTTGAACTGAATCCGCCATTTATTTGAATATCTTGTACATATATCAAGCATGTGTTGTAAACGTTTTGGTGTTGTAGAAAAACATGTAATATCGTCAGCAAGTAAGGGTGCGCAACATTTTATACTATTGACACCAGTAACTCTATTACATCTTTCTAATTCATCAATTAATTCATTAATAAACACTAAGTATAAAAAACCAGACAATACCCCTCCTTGTATAATACCTTCTTAGACTACAAAGTTATTTGATTTACAATAACTGTACCTTGTGTTTTACTATACATATCATTTATCAGGGACCATGTTTTCCCTTTGACACCCACATTGAATAATTTAAACATAAGTGTTTTACGCCATACTGTATCAAAGGCCTTTCTACTGTCTAATAACGCTACAAATACTTTGCTGTTTTGTTCTATGTTATGGTAAATTGTCACTAGGAACTTGCTGTTTTTCTATAACAATATTAAGAAAAAATTGAAAGACATTCCGCAACATTTAAGTGTTGTATAGTCTTGCAGTGTTCGACTTGTATCTTTCTATGAGTTTCATTACATCTGTTTTGCCAGTCTTTATTGTTCAGCCACCTCCTACACTGTACACCAGCAGGCCAGAATGCATCGGTCTCGATAATGCTAGCGGATTCCTCTGTGACGTTTAATTTAGCTGATATACGTGAATAATTATATTTGCCGTGAAATAGTTGTAGAAACGTCGTATTGACACCTTTAACTTCAAGAAACTGTAAAATTCCAGATCGTGTTGATCTGTTACCTTTTCCGGATAAATCGTGTCTAGCGGATCGTGTCCTTGGTGTTACACCAACAAAAATATCCTCATTTAAAGGTTTTATTTCTTCGGTATTTCCTTGTACACGTACCGGTATTTTAAATTTTATCCTTATTTGAAACTTTCGATGTTTCCGTTAACTGATCTAATTCGGGATTCGACACAACATTTTTCGAATGGTCTACTGGCGATGACGAATGGTCACTTTCTTTTAAGGTTACTTCCGTACCGTTATTTTTTCCTGGGGTGGTCTGTACATTTAAATGTTCATTGATCTGGGATTTTTCGTGTCCGCAGAGTGTAATGACGTGCTGACATTTAACTCACCAGAGGCTCTTACGGGAGAAGTTATCGATGCGTAAATAAAGGCAACAGTAGTATGCCGGCGTTCAAAAGTCATAAATCGATTTAGAGAAAACAAATCCGGGTTACAAACTAAAACCGAGGGAAACACATCAACTATAAGAGGAAAACAAAGGAACAACAGGAACACTGAAGTGCAACAAAAACAAACGCCAACATACATAGAAACTAACTATTTGATAACAACTGCCATATATCATACTTGGTATTAGAGGGTTTTACAATTAATCTTAGTTCATTTAATGTCTTTTGCATTACCGATTGTAATTTGTTATGTCTATCTAGTTCGCTATTCATAGTCTTAATATCTTTCTGAAAGTTATTCAGATAAAATTCATCTAATGTTTTAGTCGACTGGGACAGTACTTTAAATTTGGCATCGTTTTCTGTTGATTTTCTCTCATAGTCCCTTAAATGAATAACGAGTTTTTCATTTAAATCTAAATATTGCGTACGAAGTTTATTGTTTTCAGTTTGTAAGATTTTAATGACTTTTTCATTTTTCTGGTCTGATTTTTCTAGTTCCGACACTCTTTCTAATAAAATATAAATATTTGCGCGCATCTCGATAATTTCATTAGAAACTACTTCGCTGTTATGATCAACAACACTTAATTTATTGTCATCTTTTCTGAAGACCATCCATTTGCGGTTTATCACTTGCAGGAACATAAATAGTATATAGCAACCCCTAGCATATTTAGACGTAGAAGTGCTTTTCGTCGTAGACTTTCTGTTGAAAAGTTTCCCTGTGGGACACCCTGTATAGATTTTGCTCTACTAGCTAGAGTACTACGGCACCATGTCAGGCAATCTCAGTTATTTGTCTTTTCAATACGTTTTGAAATATAAATTTGTTTTGGTAGATCAGCAAGATCGAAGTCTAATTTTGCAATAAATTCTTGTTGGGGAACATAAACGGACTCTTGCGAGGGTTGGGAATATGAGAACTCATCGTCTTCGGGGCAATTGTTTGTGACATTGTTTACTTTTTGTTCACTTGGGGTACTGACTTCGGCAAAAACACGAACAAAGTCTGAGTTTTGGGGCGAATACTCTCTAAATGTCTCATTTAGGGGTCTATTATCAATAATACATTGATCGTGCTGGAGCACTGAAGCTGAATCCATGTTTAGATCACATAAATCACTGTTTTTGTCTCTCTGAGTAATTACACCTCCACCACTATCGGTAGCCATTTTTTTTCATAGATAATATGTGTACACCTCAAAATGAAGATATGATATCGAGCTATAGTGCCTAACAAGATTGTGTGAGGTAGACAAAATTGACCCTAAAACGATCGTATTGAATTTTGAGGTCCACAAATAGACAGATCGGACATATTTTGACTTTATTTACTGACTTCTTTTGTTTGGAATCAATTGTAATTATAGATTTATAATGAAACTGAAAAATGTTTTTTTTTACAAGGTAAACAATAATTTTACCTTTCGTAGCCGTGCGTAAAACGTATGTCGGCGTTTCTCTTCAAAAAATGACTTGTTTAATGGAATAAAACGTATGATTTGTAATCCGTCACTTAAAACTCCGGAATTGGCTATTAGAAAATAATTTATCTACCCTATGTTTGGAAAATTTTGTGAAAATATTAGAAGTGGCAATTTTAGCTTTCATACCTTTAGTTTCATTGATAAAAAATAATATGGACTCGTCCAGTGTCCAGTTTGAGGTAATTTAAGTGACTGTTCACA